CGTTTGTTCGGATAGCTTTACATAAATAAATACCAGGTCATCATGACGTTGATTCACTAATTGCTATCAATATAATTATTGTTCATTACGCATGATTATTTGGAAGGAGCTTTAGTAACTCAATGATTCTTAAAGCGTTAGAATTTTTCATTTTTAAGAAATACGAATTTAAAAGTACATTAACATTTTCATTTCCGTTGAATTTGTGTAATAATGGATTCTGATCAGGTTCTTCAGCACGAAAAAATATCGTTTTCGTTACGGTATTGTAATCGTATTTACTGTATGGAAAGCAAAACTGAAGACTTGGGTCTTTCAAGTGAAGCTCATAAAGTTCTTTTGTTTCAAAAAGAAGCCTTCTTAGTCTCGTTCCTTATTATAAAGACCGGCTTTGATGACCGTGTGCTAAGGAGAAAAGTACACTTCTTAAATGGAGTACCTGTCTGTTTAAACGAGCCGAAAAAATGAATTTTGGAATAAAATTACGTGCAAACTTATTAATAAGGAAAATATTAGCCAAATTCTGTGAATCAAATATTGGATTCTATAGGTAATCGCAGCGATTCTCAGTGATACTTAAGACATCCGAGTCGGACAATTAATGTTATGTTATTTAAAGTTATGTAGGTATTTACATTAAATAAAGATTAAAACATTGTATTTAAGTTACGCCAGTGTTAAATAGATTTAATATTGCACTATTCAATCTCTACTGCCTACATAATAGCGATCAGTTAAGTGACAATCAGTTGGTGATGTATTTATTCATGAAACAATTACTATCCATGAGTCTACGGCCTTGATAATGTTAGGTATTCTGGCTCTAGAACCACATTGTTATTGTATAGAATCACGAACAATAGACCATTATAATTACAGAGATAATGGTACTGCAGATCAATATTTTGATACATTAACTAGGGTACAGTCTATATTACAAGCTAAACACTGTGACCATCCTACGCGTATGTAATTATAGCTGTACCCGCTGAAAACCAGTGTTGGTCATTATTATTAGGATATTACTGTACTGAGAGAAAAGAAACCGTTTGTCATGTAAAAAATATATACAAAAAGCACTCTTATTTCATGAAGCTCTTGACTAAAACTGCATGAAGCTATGTATTTATGTTCCCACCACCCACGCGCATACGGTTTTCGACAAATAGAGTTTTACTTTTTGCTAAAAAAAAATGGCACACTCTATTAAAGAGCTCGTTTTTACTGACGTAGGTAGCATAAATCTTTTGGAATAAGCACCCTATCTTCTATAATATAAAAATGAATCGTAAAATGTGTCGGTAAGCGCATAACTCAACAACGCCAGGACCAATTTTACCAATTCTTTTTTTAAATATTCGCTGAAATCCAAGGATGGTTTTTACGGCGAGATTTGCAAAATTCAACCCCTAAGGAGGTAAAACGGGGTACACGCGTACGTAGTCGCGGGCGGCCGCTAGTTTTTTCATAAAAATATTAATAATCTCGTGAACGTATTACCAATATTATGTCTGTAAGTAATACAGAGACACAAAGCCACTTCAGATAGTTGCTTCTTGGAAAAAAAATGTTATACGAAAATTCCTATTCCTATTACGGTACTATTATTTGGAAATAATAGTACCGTAATCAATCTTGACTCTGAAGAGTCGGTTTGACAATATGAGATAATAATGCCATAGTTTCGAAGTTAGATAATTGTTTTTAGGGTTCCGTACCTCAAAAGGAAAAAACGGAACCCTTATAGGATCACTTTGTTGTCCGTCCGTCCGTCTGTCAAGACCCTTTATCTCAAGAACGCGTGAACGTATCAAGCTGAAATTCACATGAAATACTCAGGTCTATTGTCCCTTTAAGCTGTGAAAATATCAAACTTCTAAGCCAAGCCAATCAAAAGATACAGCCGATTATGTCGATATTTTCAACAAATTTTCGACACTCGCAAAGGAATCAAAACCTACAGGATACTTCCCGTAAACTCAGAATCTTGAAATTTGGCATAAAGCATTGTCATATAATGCAAATATAGGAAAAATTGCGAAAATTACATTTTTTTAGTTATATAATATAATAAAAATATTTTAATAAAATGAAACTTACTACCTTATTTCTCACGAACGAATAAAGGTATCAAATTGAAATTTATACCAAATACCTAGATCTATTGTCCCTTTAAGAAGTAAAAAAATCAAACTTCTAAATTAACGCGATCAAAAGATACAGCAGTTTATACCGACACCTTAGACGATTTTCCGTCACACGCTAGGGAATCAAAACCTACAAGGTACTTCCTGTGAACTCAGAATCTTGAAATTCGGCACGAAGCAACGTTATACAGGGTGTTAGGTAAATGGGTATATGAGCCGACACTAGCCCATGTTAACATGGACATATAAATGGTATGGTGAAGTCAGAAAATTGATAGCTTCATTTTAATTATTTTAATTTTCATACAAATCGGATTTAATAAAATTTATTTTGTATGAAAATTAAAAAAAAAAAATGATGATATCAAATTTCTGACTTCACCATACCATTTATATGCCCATGTTAACATGGGCTAGTGTCGGCTCATATACCCATTTACCTAACACCCTGTATTTTAACGCGATCAAAAGATACAGCAGTTTATACCGACACCTTAGACGAATTTCCGTCACACGCTAGGGAATCAAAACCTACAAGGTACTTCCTGTGAACTCAGAATCTTGAAATTCGGCACGAAGCAACGTTATATAGTACAGATAAAGGAAAAATTGCGAAAATGATAAATTTGAAGTTATATAAAATTTAAAATATTATTTTTGCTTACATGACATAAAATATTTTTTTAATAATTATAAACTTACTACCTACCCTTTTTCACATGAACGCGTAGAGATATTAAAGTTGAAATTCATATCAAACACTTCTTAAATCTAATTGCCTCTAAACTGTGAGAAATTCTAAATCAACGCAAAAATTCAAAACGCTGAGGTAGGTACCTACCTATAATGCAAATATAGGAAAAATAAATAAATAAAAAATAATCATACCGCATATTTTTTTTTTATAAAACTCCGGACTTTGACGTAATTTTGGTTTAAGTGAAATGAATGGTGTCCATTGGCATAGCTACAGGTTTTACCTTAGAATACTTGTTTTATATTTGTAGATAGTTACCCTGCCTAAAAAAAAACCCTAGCTACGCCAAAGCTAGCGTTATTTGATAAGGATCAGATATAAACACAAAATAATCTTGCGTGCATACCAATGTTATTTATACCATTTTGCAAGGGGAAAGGGATTTGTGGTTAGCCCTGACTACTTAAGGACAGGAAAAAATCAAATGATACCGCGAGCTAACTACGAACAGCGCCATCTATTGACAACCGTGCGAACTACGTAGTGTCGTTGCTCGGTGATAGGTGTTGCTGATTGCAGCTCATTGTTACAATACTTTTTATTAAAATCGGATTTTATTCCGGAGGTTTTACAATTTCTTACTACTTTCGCAAATCATTACAAATGAAGAAAGGAATTTACGGTGTGGTACCTACCCTCAATGTACAATTAGATTTCGAGCGATACCACTTTTGGGCATTCTCCTTTTAAGTAGTTACTTTCCCCATTGTAATGTTATGAATTTCATTTTGCAATAAAAATACCATAGTTATGACTCGATTGTCGTAATGAACGAACTTTGTAAACCTTGCAGGTTTGTACGGAACCCTCGGTGCGCGAGTCCGACTCGCACTTGTTTAAATTAGGAGGTAGACGACAGATACCTAATTGGGCGTTTGTCCTTGAGACACGATAGTTTTATACAGGCTGTATTGAACTGATATTGCTCGTGAGGTTGTGGATAAATATCGACAACTCAATGACAGGATTGCGAATGAGACACTTAAGACCGCGAAGTTTGTAACTCGCTCTCACTAGCAGCTAAGTATATATCTATTACTAATATTATGACGCTGAAGAGTTGTTTGTTTGTTTGAATGGGCTAATCTTAGGAACTTCTGTCCGATTTGAAAAAAATATTTTTGTGTTGTATCCATTTATCGAGTATTGCTTTAGGCTTATAACATTATTATACTATGACTAAGGCTGGTTTTAGTGTCACGTGGACCGTCCGGTGCGGACCCGCTCCGCACAGCCAATCTGTATGAACTTCTAGGGAGCGTTTTAGAGTAATGGGGTCCAGAGGAACCGCTCCGCTCCCTAGCATACAAATCGGCTGTGCGGAGCGATCCGCACTGACAGTCCGTGTGACACTAAAACCAGCCTAAATAGGAACGGAGCAGCAATGAATATTTTTGCAAAATGAAAAAATAAATAAAACAATTTTCACGCACACAAAGTCGAGGCCACAGCTAGTCACTGATAAAATTAATCTGCTTTAATAAAACTTTTTCAGAATTTGGGTCAGAAAAGTGCTCGAGTGGCGATCACGCGGGCCAGAAGACGTAGTGTGGGTAGGCCCCTCACTAGGTGGACCAACGATCTGGTGAGGGCCTGGATGCGGGTAGAGCAGGATCGGTCATCGTAGAAGTCCTCGGGGAAGGCCTTTATAATGGGAATTAAGATTTTCAACAAGTTGCCTAAAGTCAGCTGTTTTTATAATTTAGAAGAATATTTTAATCATTGTTGAAATTCTAAAATAGACAACTTACCTACTTATGTAACATTTTTGTAAATTACATTATTTTCTTTACCTACCTACATATATTGTACGTCCGAAATGGGCAAAATATTGTTCCTGTGTTAATTATCATCCATGTAACAACAATGTATGCACAGTTTTGACAATACATGACTATCTATCTATCTATCAAAGGACGTTATTTCATCATCATCATTTCAGCCATATGACGTCCACTGCTGAACATAGGCCTCCCCCAATGCTTTCCATATTGATCGATTGGTAGCAGCTGCGTCCAGCGCTTCCCTGCTACCTTTACGATGTCGTCGGTCTTTACGTCATTTGGCTGAAACAAAACGTAATTAATTACACTTACCAGTATATGAACGCAATGCGTCGCGATCACAGCCACAATTATAGTGCCGATCGCTCCGGGAATCAAACCCGTGTTCTTGAAGGCGTAAGGCATGGCCAGTAAGCCTGAGCCGAGCGAGGATTTGAGAAGATGGAAGAACGCACCTGATGTTCTGGAACAAAGAACGTTAATTAGTAAATTATCAACGTTAAAACTTTATATTGTACAAGATCCTATTATTATTTACATTCTATCATTTTCTTATAACCATGGACATAAACTTATTTCAACGTTAATGTTTTATACTTTATGAACAACTGTTGGTGTCTGACATGGCTCAAGTCATGGTCGTAAATGCCTTCATATTTTTTTAGACAATACCTAGTGTTCATTCAAGGTATATTTTATTAGACATTCTGGAAGTTTATCTGGCACTCATGCTGAAGCCTAAGAACTTGCGGTCATAATGGTCTCAAAAGAAGAGTACGTTTTTCTTATTTATTTAATTTCACGCAAGAAATGCAAAAGGTACATTAGCCGTATACAGAAAGAAAGCTGGAAACTTATAAGCGCTTATCGGCGCGCGTTCATATATTTTCCTGCGCGGGCTACCAGCGCTGTCAAGCGCCGGTAAGCGCTTATAAGTTTCCAGCTTTCTTTCTGTACTTATACGGCCTTAGGCATTCTCTACCAGTCAACCTTTTGCTGTGAAGTTGACTAAAAACAACGATTTTAGTGTGATTGCAAGTTCAGCATTAAAGTTTATTTATTCATACCCCTATGGCTGATCCCTTAGTAATAGTTTAGTAGCAACGACACGAACAGAGTGGGCGCCTTTTTGGCAAAAAAGGACAAATACCCAAATAGTTTTTGCGTTCGTATCATTTTTATTCTGCTTACTATGTAAATAGGAATTGTGTGTATTATTTTGGGTAAAATATAGTATCTTATTTTATTCTAATAAAACCGCAACTTTGGTACAGATGGTACAGATTATATATACCCTACGCCTCTTGGCGGGTAATACAATGTTATTAAGGGATCCATTTTAAGCTCTGCGGCAAAACTCCAAGCCGCCTTTTTTGGTTTTTGTAAAAGAGGTTTTACACGGTATTTTTGGATTAGCTGTATTCACACTAGCTTTATTTCATGTTATGCTTTCATTTTAGCACTGCTTAGTAGTGCACTAGCGTTGATTTTGGATTTTACGTTTTTCGGAGTGTCTTAATTTTTTCTACCTACAATATTTAATACGCTTTCTAGTTTCTGAGAATGTCAACACATTCTGCAATATAAAAAGTCATTTAAATTCCATTAAATCAATCCCAATCATATCACTCGAATTCCTCAATAAATTTAAAGGTTTTAACGGCGTGTTCCTTCAAAGGCATAGAATAAAACAGAATTATTAATTGTAAGTAGAGCGTACAAGTAATACATACTAATGAATAAATACATAGTTAGGCTGGATTGCACCACCTAAGTTTTATGGTTAACAGATATTTTCTGTATGGTGTTTGACAGATTTTTGACGTTTGTCAAAGTTAAAGTAAGATGGTGCAACTCAGCCTTAGTGTATTTCCTCGAAAAGAAAAACAAAGTAGCCAAATTGATGTTTCCCAATTTGGGCTCGTTATTTTCGCTTCACGCCAATGTTTCTGCTTGTGTACGGATGTACATTAATATTGTACAATCAAGAACTACATGGGTACCTGTTTTATTCAAGGTTAAATTTTGAAATTAATTATTTTTCATAATAATTATCATCTCAGCCATCTCATTCATTATTTTTACCGGATAAAAACTTGTAAACGAAATATTTCACAGAAAGTATTTGATCCTAATTTATTTTCTTTAAAGATACGAGTGTAGGAGTACTGTTTACAATTACTAGGCAGTTTTTTTTTGCGAAAATTTAGTTTTTAAGTACTTATTGCAGGTATCAGATGTTCTTTTGGACGTTAGGCCGCCGTGAGTTGATCTCATCTGATGTCAGGTATCTGATACAGTCAGATGCTAAAGTTACGACCCTGATGTTACAATTTATAGTTGTTGCAATTCACGAAGGCGAGTGAGCTTTACATGTGTAGTGGCTCGCTACTGTTCGTTTTCCAAAAGTTTTGATAGACACACAAGTAAAGCTCACTTGTCTTCGTGAGTTACAACGTTGCAAGAACTATAACAGCCTACATCCGTCGATTTAATATCTGATACACTAGGTATTGGAACACTTGTTTACTAGAAACGGCTGCTAGTATGTTTTCATATAAGACAATATTGAGTTACAATGCCTACATCAAGTTTATTTACTCCGACACACGTGGTGATTTAACTATTATTGATATTACAAAATTATTGTTATTAAGATAGCCAATGATGGTGTAGCTATAATACATTTATATTACCAGAGTGGAATCAGGGGTAAACTCTGAAAAACCATTTGAGTAATCTGATGTACCAATCTATCAATCATCTTTCTCACTCTCCTGTGGCAGCATTCCATAGCGAGTGAGTGTGATGGATGGATAGACCCATATCTTTCGATATAGTTACACAAAATAGGTTCTCGTTTTCCGGGAATTGGTGGCGTTTTATCTTCTTCTGAATTATGTGTTGAGCAGGATAACCGATCCATCTGATTTATTAATATTTTGTACAGAATAGGCTCAAAAAATATTTCGTGTACATTTATTGAAAACTGGAGGCTGAAAACATTAAATTTTCGGATAGATCCAGTTAATTCCTAATATTAGTACCGTTGGATAGAGCTTGTGAAGTACTTTCAAGATTAGTAATCAGTTTTTCGATATCTTGTATAGTTTAGAAATAACCGAATGAGATCACTTATCGTTTCCACCCTGTATAGTGCTTACAAATCGTCAAATATTTTGCTCTTAAGGAGCCTCTACAACTACATGTCTCATAATCTTTTTACCCTACCAGCGCTCTTGTTATAACTTTAGCATAATTTCAAGAGGCTTTCATTGTACATAATTTCATGACATACCTATAAGGATTAAAGTGTGAAATTAAAAACGGTACGCTGACTTGACTCATTTAAAACGTCTATACTAGTTAATACTGTTAAGACTAGTTAATGAGGGGTGAATAGAGGTAGCTAGACTTTTAATATACCTGTCTCAATTATGACTTGGCTTAGCAAATTATCCTGACACTAAATTCTTTTACACTAAAAAAGGTTTTTTTTTGTTTTAGAGTTTTAAAAAAAAGTTTACTGCGTTTATTTGTTAAAAATTTCTAGCCTTAAAAGTCGTATTTCAAACTAAATTTTGATTAACTTGAAATAATCGAATTGCCTGAGTGGGAATCGAAGCAACAACCTTTTTGCTTCTGTTTTTTAACAAGTGATCGAGTCAATTATGTTAGTGTATTATTAGTATTTTGTGTATCTTTCCCTTTTACATTATTCTGAAGAGTGAAACTTGGCAAGCCTCCCGTTCATGGTTTACATTAATGAAAGTGAGGGCTCTTACACATAAACACGATACGACGTCGCGTCGTATCAGGACGTGTCTGTGTGTTCAAGAGCCCTAATTCAATTTAGCTAGATTCAGACAGCCGTCTGTTACGATTACATAATTTAAGCCGCTAAACTAATTTTGATGTTTTTTGTTATAATTTTGTCTTGTACTAGCGACCCGCCCCTGCACACACACACAGGTACAATATATTATACTTAAAAACCTTCCTCTTGAATCACTGTTACCTAATTAAAAAAACCGCATCAAAATCCGTTGCGTAGTTTTAAAGATCTAAACATACAGGGACAGACAGACAGGAAAACGACTTTGTTTTATAATATGTAGAGATATTGAAGCCTCAAAAAGAACTTATAGAATACTTACGATGTGGGATGTGCCAGTTTTCTGTGCTCAAACGGGTTGTACTCGTAATCCTTTTCGGGTTTGATGTTGTGGATATTGACCAGAGTGATTGTGGACTGCGCCTGCGACGGGGGCTGGCTGTCCTCCATGTTGAGGGCCCTGGGTAAAATATACATTTTCTAACTAATTAATTGTAAGTAAGTAAGTAAACATTTATTTGCTGCACACAAAGTCACATACATAGTTCAACAAGATTACGTAATTCAATATTTAACATGCACATTCAAAATAAAAAACAATTAGAAATGAAATAATGTGAGCAGAGTTGCGGCAGCAAAAGGTCTCCGTCTCAGCATGTGTCACAAGCTAATGCCTGATAATTGGACAAACTTGACCTTCACTGGTTAGGTTAATAATTAGCGGTCACGCTGTAGATCCTGGCTACACAGGAGTTGCAGTGGTGGGAAAGAGAGGTGGGAATAGTCCCGTATTAACTAATTAATTGGCCTCTCCCTAGGTTGTCTAAAGGGATAGCTTCATTGCAATAAGAACGTCTATTCTGTTTTTTCTTTATTGTTTGGTGTTCAATATAGTGTTTTTATTCCTCGTATAAATCCTAGTCCTGTATAATATACCCATACTTGGACTTCTATGGTAAAATTTTGGGTAATAGTCAGGTTAAAATGTAAAAACTAGTAGGTAACACTGGAGTAGCAATGATGGAAAAGGAAGAAGAATAATCGGAAAAAAATACAAATCTTTCTGGGGATCATGTGACAGTTCTAAACAATAATTTTATTTGGCTGCGTTAACCAAAGTGATAGAAGTAAAATAAAGAGGAGCATGATTAAATATTAAGAAATAGCATCATCCTAACCGTAAAACGTTGTATTGTGTAACAATCATCTCCGAAATTGATAACGGCTTTATTGGCGCGCCCGCAATCTCGAGTTGATAAGAAACGAGTGTCAACACCAACTGTTGTAGGGCTTGAAAAGGGAGGGTCTCCTATCGATAAAAGTTATATTATTTACATATTTATGCAATCGTGAACTAAGTGTACCTACTAAAGTATATACCTAACCTAAATGTACATTTTTAGATACCTACTTAAAACTAGCTAGGTATATTAAAAGCAGCAGATAAAATGAGAGAAATGAATATGGTTTCGATAATTATAACGATACTTTTTCATACTAAAATAGGAATAAAAAATTATAATATAAAATTTAAAAAAATAGGTATTCTCAAGCAACTAAGGTTAGTTCTTATAATCCACATGATAGAAGGAATATAAAATCTGTTGATAAAGTGACAGGTAGTTTTTAGATTTATTGCATTACTTTCTGTAATTTCCAGACATGAGTTATCATTGCCCAACAAAATTAAAACAAAAAACAATCATTATTTGCCAAATGTTTGTCTCGAAGCGCTGGTAGGGCAAATAATAATGAGACATGTACAGGTTCCTTAAGAGCATTTGATGATTTGTATTGTAAGTACTAATTTAATTAGTCTACACAAATAAAGATAATTTTGATTTTGATTAACTTCTAATTTAATGTCGATATACTTTGACTGTCGATTACTCGATAACACTGTGAATACACAGCACTTTCCTAGGGCAGCCATAAACGGTTTTATTCCGGTCCCGTCTCCTTAATGTGCTCGGACGTTAATCCGGGGGCACTTAAAAGTAACGGCTGTGTAACGATATGCTGGCGACTTGGCACTGCTGGAGAAACCTCGCCCTGATATGTCAATCAAAGTGGAAATAATTAGCTAGCTAAATACAGTTGTATCTCCAACTAGATGGACTGACGACCGGTCTTACTAGTATGAATCATCATCATCATCATCATCATCATCATTTCAGCCACAGGACGTCCACTGCTGAACATAGGCCTCCCCCAATGACTTCCACATCGCACGGTTGGTAGCGGCCTGCATCCAGCGCCTTCCCGCTACCTTTATCAGGTCGTCGGTCCACCTTGTGGGTGGACGTCCCACGCTGCGTTTTCCGGTACGTGGCCTCCATTCCAGAACCTTGCTGCCCCATCGGCCGTCAGTTCTGCGTACTATGTGCCCTGCCCACTGCCACTTCAGCTTGCTGATCCGTCGGGCTAGTATGAATGATACGATACAATTTTCAATCGTTCCAGGCAAATGATGTCATTTGCTGGATAAAAGCGTCCCTCAAGGATTTCTACGGCGACCGCTCCTGCGCTGCCTACATCTAGGTGCTTCCCGCAACATTCACCTTGTAGAAGGCCTGCCCACGCAGATATCATTTTATTTCGTGGAATTACGTCGATTCCAGACGATAAATAAGACCATTTATTATGTCGATAAGATAAGATTTCATGATTGCGTAGGTGAAGGTTGCGAGAAGAACCTAGATGCAGGCTGCGTGGGATTAGTCGTAAAAAATCCTTTAGTTTTTTTTTATCCACAACGAGGAAGCTCTTGGCCTGTATCTCACCTGATGGTAGGTAAGTGATGATCAGGCCGAAGTTTGTCCAGCAGTGGACGTCGCGATGACGAAATAACCTTTCACTTAAAAAAATGTCTGCTCGACGCTTTTGAACGTTATAGTAGTCCAGTACGTTAAGCACCAAGCCATTCGGTTGCACCAATGTCTTAAAAACCAGGATAAGTAATCAAAATCAATATGTACCGTCAGTTTTCTAAATAAAACTTGACATCTAAACATTTCATTATGATTTCCCTTGAGGTTCCCTCCCTGCAGTGTAGAATATCGTACGAGAGTGCATTGGTGTTGCTATGTGGGTAAAAATACCCTGCATTCTACAGGACTTCTTGGCAGGAAGGTAAAGTTTGTTGCCATGTGGCAATTTCACCTTATTTTTTGATAAGCTGAATATAAAGGTGAAAAAATGTGGATTGATTAACCATCATTCATTATGTAAACCATTGGATTTATTCGATATTTTAATATCAATATTAACTTGAGAGTGACGAATTCGAGTAAAGCAAAACAATAATGAAAGAAAAAACATCTGGTGCGCTTCCTGCTGATGATTATTGAGTTATTCTCGAAATTACACCATTGGGAAACAAAATGGAACTTCTTTCCAGATTCCTCCTACTTCCCTTCTAATTAAAAAAAGCATAGCTATCGACTGTGAGAAAATAAGTTGATAACAAATTAAGTCAATCAATGGGCACAAAATTAAAATTACAAGCGAAAAATATTACAATTCCCAGAGTTTTCGTCAGGGCTAGTCAAGATTGCTTTAAACTTAAATTGATCTCGTTGGATCTTGTATACGACACATAAGGAGTATTCATAAGTTCTACGAGCTCATTATTTTGCAAGAAAATAACATCATTAAGCTCCCTTTTTAGCCATACCTTGTAATTAACGAGCAAGTGTATCCATAAAAACTGTTTGAAAGCAGCCGTGTTGACTAAAGAGCTTGCTCACTAGCGCAACTATCTGCATGCGATAAAATTTTACTGCAAATGGTGCGAATTTAATATTGCGAAATGTAAAAACTGATGGGATTGTGAATATTGCTTTCGAAACAGATCGTAACAGATTGTGTCTGGTAGGTATCCAAAATAAAACAAAATCTCGTGCAAAATTTAAATATTAGAAAAGATACAAATAGGCAAATAGGCATTTATCTAATTTATGTGTCTGAGGTGACCAAATCTCTAGAAATCTTTAGCTCAGATGACAATAATTAATAGTCAAACTCAAAACTCAACTCAAAAAGCATTGATAATATTATTATTATCTAGAAAAAACCCGCTGATTTAGGATAGTAAGTCTATATCTATTTAGACTATAGTAGAATTTTTCACTAAAACCTTTTTTCATAAACAACAAAATGCTATGTTATTGCACCTATGCCCTTATAAACTACTTTTTTCTTTCTAATTACTTTTTATTTTTACAGTGACTGTCACTACATTTTTCCTATTTCTAGCACTTAAAACTTGTGTGCAAGATACCTTAGATCTTAATAGAGATCTGCTTAGAATATTCATAAGATCTGGGAATTTGTTAGCCTTGCCAGCATTGAATTCAGTTTCAAAGGAATTTAATCAACATCCTGCAACAAACTAGTTTGTAGTTGGTACGAGTAATACTATCTCCGCGTTTCTCGCATTTGTATAGTTTGCTACTTGGGAGTTACCAACTTCGTCATTGTGGTTAAGTAAAGCCGGTGATACACGTGCAAATTAAACAGAAATACTTGTGTGCTCCTTAACGGAATGTGCAAGCAACTGGCGCAATGTGGATCCATTTAAATGCTATTTGCTTCCTTATTTGCCTCGAGGCTGACAATAGTGACTTTATTTCTTGCGCTGCTTCTTCTCAGCACTGGCCCACTTATTGTCCTGAAGCAGTGGTAGGGTTAATACTAGGACGTGTAGAAGTCCTTTTTAAAGCCTATTTTAGAAATAAATGAGTTTTATGAGTTTTTATGAGTTCTATTTCCAACTAAAAAAAAAATTGACTTGTATAGAAACAAGCAGGCCGCCATCAACCGGTCATTGTGGAAATCATTCTTATTTCTTAATGGTTTTCGGTTGGAGAATGCTGTTTTTGTTACGATATGAATAACTAAGGATAAATAGGTAATTTTAACGTGAGAATGTTGCCATATTCAAAACTCAATTTGCACAATATCGTCAGATTGCTGTTTTTACTTACTTGATAGTCAAATGTTGTACGATCTACGCGCTTGCCAGATACAGATATGCCAGTGAACGTATCATCATCATCATCATCATTTCAGCCATAGGACGTCCACTGCTGAACATAGGCTTTCCCCAATTAACGTATACCAGAGTAAATAATGCGTATATTTAGGCACAATGGCAGTTGGTGGCTGCTGTAAGGAATTAGTATGCAAAATGTACCTACCAGTTACTGGATGTGTATCACCGCCTTTATAATAATATTAAGTCAACACAGTATTCAACAAAACTTCGTGAGTTGATAAAACATTGTTATTAAAGCACAAAAAACTAAGCTGATTGAAATCTCTAAATAAACGAGTAAACAGCACGGACATCGAAAATTAATGGTTGTTAGATCTATTTTTAGGTACAAATAATTATATTACATTTACCTTATGGTGTTATGGTTATTACCACTACGTCAAACACATTCGTAAAAATAAAGTGTCTAGTCTACTTTGTAGGTAGGTAGTACTTTCATATTTCCATTCAGGCATATAAAATTAGATTTTTTTTTGTGTAAGCCTACATAACGTGTACTTGCGTGTGATATTTTTAGGTTCATTATAAATACAGTCCATTTATCATAGGGCTAGACGAGTACCTAAATTTTTTGAAATAAAATACTTTATCGATGGTTCAGTCACGTTCAGTTTTTTGCTTTTAAAAATAGAACTGAGGAGTTGTTAAGTACCTATGTCGCATCACAGACGCATAGGTGTGAAATCGCAGGTGTGTAAAACAGCCTTCCTCTAAATCACGTACAAGACAATATGATCTATATTCCACTACGCATAGAGATCAAGATTCAAGGCGTCTTGCAATTGCACTATTATACATACAGTTAACAGCACATCAGACTGTACATTTCTGTGGCAAAATCGACCCTATTTCAACTACTTAAGAGCTTGATGTACCGTCGTTTGTTTGGTGACACTACGCTTCTTTGAAGTAGCGGGTGGTAGCAGCGACGTTCCCCTTCCTGCAATTTTCTACATTCTCCACTTTTTAAGTGCCCTTGATGTTAAATTGTTACTTATTTTGTTTGAAAGGCATCTCATTATTTAATGCGAGGAATTGTTCAGCATTTTCGTCAAGGAAATGTTTAACTCAGAATTTTCTGCCTCGAAATATAATATAATCTTATGTAAATCACGTTTTATTACTTGTATTTACATACTTAACAGTATAATTACCATGAATTTAAATGTATAGGCTCAACAACCGATAATAGTTCTGTTCATTTAACTAAATTGTTTGTCAGTAACGTTCTAAGTCCTAACAAGTATTTGAAATATCTTTCAGTACTCACTCGTAGACACAAAATTCCTTTTGTTTGAAAACTGTTTCACAACACCACTTGTTTGCTATGGAAGTAGATAGTAAACTGTCTGGAGATTCTGAAAGGTTATTTTGGCTATGTTCTCAGAAAGTGCTTGACAAAACAATATCATAAAAGATTGCAGAGATTTCAATAGAGAAAACAAATAAAGAAAATATTATTATTTCATTTTCTTGTTAGTTGAAATTGTTAAACATTGTAAAATACTCGAATAGGTACTTACTCGTACAACACTTAAAACTACATTATTTCATTCATCATTACCTTGATAAGAAATTATACTATTGTTTACCTAATACTAGTAACGTCTCTATTTTATAACCTTTAAATTAGACATTTTATTACATTCTATGTGCCTCTGTATTCAAAATACTAAAATTAACAAGATTAGCAAAATTCTTCTAGTCTTAATAATTGGTTAAAAGGCGCATTTTATCTTGATTTCTCGTTGAAAATCTTAATTTTATTTTCGTTTAGCACGCGATGAAATCGTCCATTTCATTTCAAATTTTGTAACATTAATTTATTGTACAAATAATTCGATGATTGAAATCGCAATCACCTTCATCTCCCATTTAAACTTACAAAATCAACTAAATATTCATTACGTTCCAAATCACTACAAAAAAGCATGGACTAATCCACCTACCTCATTTTGTTTTCCGGCTTCATAGTTTCCACACACTGTAAACTCCACTTTATTATGTTGTCACAAAGGCACAATGTTGTCCGGATGCAGCGACCATTATTTCTGTGGCGTCAATTTGCACGGGACCGACGAATTGAAGCAAGGAACGTCTGTTATCTTCTGAACGCAATCGTAAAACTAGATTTTCATTACGATGTGCAGTGACCACGCGACTGACCGGACCAGTACGAGATGTGAAAATACCGCCAATATTTTTTAAAAACTTTGTTATCTCGTTCAACTAGTTCAATGAACGTGAAAATACCGTCACTATTTGAAAGTTATGTAAGTAGTTTGAGGTAAATAAAGGAACAATTTGTTATAATTTAATACCCTGTTTATTTTTTTTGGTCTTCACATTCACCATTCTCTTGTGTAGTTTACAGAATATTTAAATACTTACTCAACTATTCCAACCAACGCTACTTCGTACAAAGTCACATAGGCTGGTTTTAGAGTTTATAATCTAAAGCTCATATACGTTTTACCTGTTTATTTCTTTCATATTAGTTATTACCTGTTTTCACACAGATAAGTATATTTAGTAATTGGAAGTACCTGATACTTACCTAACTGGTATTAATATTAGTTATCACAGATATCAAATTAATACTGTTTTGAATTTATTTATTATGTTAGATTTTGAAACAAAGTGACGCTTCAGTTAGCTAATTAATCATAAAACAATTTATCGGTTTTAATTATTATTATAATATTATACCAAAGCACCATTTTCCAATCAGAAATTCCATAAAGTTATTCGCAGAATTGCTAATAGAGCTTTTTGGTAAAATTATAACTATTATATTGCTCAATTGAATATATAATTTAACCTGTTGTTAGAGTTTACAAAAGCGTGGATATTCTAGCTCTTAAGATAAACTAGATTAGGCTTATCGTTTTCATATTTCTTACTTAACGGAGAACTTATCTTGTTACTGAATTTTATGCATTTGGACTGTTACAGAGAACTGAAGAAGGAGGTGGTATTGTATTCGATTTTTAATTTGAAAAAAGATAGTCTAAGTCAGTGGTTCCCAAAGTTGTCTGGGCTACGACTCATCAAATACAAGTTCCCAAACTCGGGACTCACCTATAGGATAATTAGCCGATAACAATATACCTAAATAAAGGACTTTTTAAATTACAATCCGTCCAGGCGGCTGACAGTCGCTCGCTGCCCGGCGCTGCAGCGGTTAGATCGGTAGGGTGGTCTGTCGTTCTACAGGCAGGGCCCACTCAATGTTTGCTCGCGACCCACCACTGGGTCGCGACCCATAGTTTGGGAAACCCTGGTCTAAGTATAATAATAATCTATACTAATAATTAAAAATGTGACACGCGCAAACCACTGAATCGATTTAGATAAAATTTGTTGGTTTGAAAGCCAGGGAAATCATAGGAAAGGTTTTTCTCGGTTTCTTGAAGTGGAACACATGCGCGTTTAAGTCTTTCTGTGATAGACCAAACACGCGAGTGAAGGTCTAGACCAGGGGTTCCCAAACTTATTTGAGACGCGCCCCCTTTAGACAATTCCAAAAATTCCGCGTCCCTCCTCCTCCAGTCAAAATTATTTATTGGTCGTATCGAGCAGTCAGTAGGCTGGAATGCATTCTCTCAGCGGTCGCAGATTTTTATACTTAAGTAAACAGATGGTCCGCGCCCCCCTTTAAAGGTCCCCCTACTTTGGGAACCAATGGTCTAGCTAGACTCTAGAGCGAACGATCGAACTTGGGACAAAGCCCAGAGGATACTCACGCAACGACAATATTAAAAAAATGCATACGCAAAATTAATTTACTTGACTGAATCTGAAACTTCCTTTAGGTCAATCAAGACATCATTTAGCTCAATAATTTAAGGCGTCATAAGCATCATTATTGTTTGTTGTTTCAAAACTGCAAATATAAAGTCCCAAGATCATGAGCCAGTGTGGTCACTCTAGCGTAAACAGGTAAATACCAGATAACTGCGCTCTAAGCCGCGGGTCGCGTGCGCACCTCATGTGTGACTGCGATGCACTTATTGATAAAGTTTTTACCGCCGCATTTAATGCATCATTTTCTAATATTAAGAGGTAAACAGCTTCGAGGTAAAATATTAGGTTATTAACTTCATTTATTGCAATATAATTTAAATAAAATCTGTGCAGGTAGTTTTAAGTTTAAATATTTTTACAAATTGTGTAATTAATTTTAAAAGCGGGAAGCACCTGGATGCGGGTAGGACCGGTCATTGTAGAAATTCTTGGGGGAGGCCTTTGATCAGTAGTTGAAGTCATTCATCTGAACGAACGAATATGATGTAATAAAATGGTTATCTGACTAATGCGTTGAGGCGTGGGAAAAATATCTACCTTTAAAATTACCCTACCTTACCCTGACAGTAAGGCTGGTTTTAGTGTCACGCGGACTGTCAGTGGTGAGTGACTGAGTTTGTTGCGGCGCTTCTTCTCAGCACTTGCCAAATGTTGGTCTCGAAACGCTGGTAGGGTTAAAAGATTATGTGAAGGCTCCTTAAGAGCAAAACTTTAAAGTTTTTTTCTATTAATCTATTAAATTTTGTTTTAATATTTGACGATTTGTAAGCACAATTTTTTTAATAGTCCATGCAAAATTAAAGGAACTTTGACTTTGAACTATATCCCTATTATCGCTCAGCTACGCGTCCCAAGCCTCGCACTACAAGTCATCCAAAGTTCGTGTGAATTGAATCCCGGATAATTTGTTACCGGGTCCGCAGAGATTGCTCCGGAATCCGGGTGTCTTCCACTTTGCTGACAACTGTGCACGACGTACTTTATTGAGTTCTTTTGTTTCATTTTGCGAATTGTCAGAACCAGGGAAAATTCTGATTGGATGTTTCACAGCACTCGGAGAAAAAACTTGACGTCTTTTGTTTATTACCAAAATGTACTCGTAACTATTTCTACACTACTTACTATACAATTTAATTGCAAAATCTATTAGTACCTACCTACCACCACCTATTATAATCCATTAGATTTTTAGTGGCCTAAAGTGGCCTTATTACAGAAAAGTTAAACACACGTTAAACATTTTCATACCAAAATATGACAACTTAAACAAGTTCAACGGGCGTTTAACTTTTTGTAATAAGCGTCGAAGAATTTCTGGTTTAGGCATAGGTTTAGGAGTGATTTACCAACAATAGTGTTCAATACATACGTACCTCTGAAAAAATGTGACGGTTAGGTGTCCAGTTAGGTCCAATGATTTTGAAATTTGTATCCAGCTTCCCGGAACTGACAAAGAAAAATAAATAAAATTAAATTAAAAAAAAAAACTTTCCTTTCACTCAAAACCTAAGCAAAAATCGCTTACGGATTATAGCTGTAGTTCCTATACTACGAATTATGTTACTAAAATCATATTTATTTTGGATTATACCTACCTGCACGGTCCTAATTTATTAAGGTTGTTCAAGGCTGGCGGTTAAACCGCCACCCCTACTTAAGTAAGTCCAGAAGCTAAATAAATACTCATTAAGTCCGTACCTACATAATTACTAGTTACTTTCATGTCCCTATTTACTGAATAACATCTCTTAGTTCAAGGAAATAGTTCCTACATAAATTGACCATTTACTTACATACAGTATGATTACAGGGCTCTCGTCGTATACCTAAGTAAATATTATTATAGTAACATCAAAACGTTTTAATAATGTCAAGATAATCATAAATAACTTGGTATTTTTAGGTTATTGACCTGTAAAGATAGTAGAAGTTGGTAAACACAAATAAATAAAAAAAATACTCTGTTATTTTAACGCAGACTCGAGTCTACGTTTTTTATGGTTTTATAAAGACATCCCATAAAGATATTTAATTTAGTAAAGCATGTACCACATAATATAACATACCCTTAGAAGACCTACGTGTTAGTTGTTAGAGAAAAAATACTTTAAGGTTCGGTCAAACCCACGCGATCAGCCTGCGTGCGCGATGGCGATGGAGATCAATGCGTTTTATGTTATGTCTGATCGCCATCATGCACGCCGGCTGCACGCTTTGGTTTGGTCGGACCATAATCTGTTTAAACCTTATTTTGTCGGTAAATTGTTTTTAACTATTTAGTGCTAGTTTCAAACAGTGTGTAATTACAGACACAGTAATTTAAGTAATAGGTAACTTAGGAGAAAACACAGCAATGTAACATAATTTATGTGTACTGTATATTATTATTTTACTTAGGTATTTACTTTATGATGTCACACTGTAATAGATCATTCTAATTTATTTATTTCAATTAGGGAAGGATTAATGTATGTTTGCGAGCACGTGCAAAAAACAGATGACGTGCAGAAATTCACGCGAGTATAGCCGCGGGCAAAGCTAGTATGAGATTTAATTTGACTATTAGATTGCATTAAGTTATGTTTAACTACGAGTACATACGTCTCTGAAAAAGTTGATGAATCTTTTTCTTGTGTTCTTCGTGCTCCGTATCTAAATCTGATAACGAACAGGCAATAAAAACAAGATAATGGGGATGTTGCCTGGGTCAAAAAGCAAGAGTTTTAATTAGTCCGTCAGTTAATTTATAAAAAAATACTCTACACGTATTTTTCACTTTTTCAAACTAATGAAAATTTAAAGAGATAAAGCGCCCCAAAGTTCATAAGAAGAGGCCCGTGACGTCAACGCTTGCTTAAAAATGCCGCACGTTGTGACGTCGTGCGCAACTTCAACGCACCATAACTATGTAATTATATGTTAGATTGACAAATAAAAATATATGTGTCCAATATTTTTTGATATTAAACATTACGGACTAAAAAAATTTTTTTAGGCAACTAGCCTATTAACACATCTTTATTAGTTAAAAACGGCAACACACACGTTTCGTATTTTACAATGTTTAACCACACTTTTACACATCCCACAATCTGCCTTCTCACTGAACTATTAAGGCACCAGTGGACTTCTCAGGCTGATGGCAATACAGAAAATTAATTTAATTGAATTTATAAAAAAAATTAGAACATGTTTATATTTCATTGCAAAAGACTTGATTTCTTCCATTGATGATTTATAGACTGAAATATTGTCAGGAGAACAAAGACTTAGCCAAGCCTGGTTCACATCTTGAGGTGGTACTTACATAAAATCTCATTTTTAATTGATAACAATTCGCTTAGTTCCACAATAAACTAACTATTTACACATTTACTTTATTTATACATCTCACAAGCTTTAAATAGTAAGGAAAACCGTTAAAGTGAGTAAATTGAACATTTCAACATCGATTGACGAAATTTTACGGGGCAAGAATAATTTACTTAAAGGTAGGACCATAAAATTGGGCCAATAATGAAGATTGAAGAAGGAGTCTTTAGGAAACCTTTTATTTACAAGTTTTTGATTACCCTGTAAAAGTGTACGAGAAAATTCGATTCTGGCCTATTGGATTATAAAATAAACAGTTTTTAATAGACTTTACTTTCAACACAGCTTAGTACACCAGTGCCTAAATTACCGAAGGAAAATTCGCAATAAGTAGGCAGTGGTTACAATATAAAACGTAATAATTTAAATATTCACTTAAACAAACATAAAAGTAAAGATTATGATGTCACATGATAACATTGAAAAAAGTACAACAATATTTACATAATAAGTAATCACTCTGTACACGCAGTCGTACCGCCTCACGCATTATAAAACAAACTTTATTTCCCCTACTTTTAAAACTTAAATAACAATAATTAACCACGAAACTGCTCCGAAACATTAAAGCACCACAAACTTTGGCAGCAGTCGACGGCTACGCGAACAAACCGACAAAGTAAAAAAACACTGAAGTCCAATTCTCTGTTCGTATACTTCACAAATTTTAATGTCAGTAGTCGTTTAAAGCTCGTTGCACGTGTCTCTTAAAACTAGAAAGTCTGGTATCTTTTCGTACTCAGCTCTGGGTCGCCGGTCGCACTGTATTTCACGTAAAAGCGCTGCAGGTTTCGTGCTTGCCATTTTTAGATCGCATTCGGTCATTTTATTGGAACGCGGAGAATTTTTATGCTCAAAGGCTTTTAAGGATAATTACTTACTGTAAATTAAAAATGGTGAGTGAAAAAACCCAATAATTAAGAATTAATAGCATAGTCAGCCACAAAAGATACTTTTTTAATGAAAAATTCAGCTCCGAAGCAGAGCTAAATAATACTTTGTACACTCTGAAAGCCTCATTTTTAATCTTTTTTTAATTTTCTTCATATTACAAGTTCAATAACAACATAAAGATAGGCAGTGCTTACAGCGCAAAGGTATTATTCTATGTATTTGCCTGCAGCGCTCTTAAGTGAGTCTAATATGGTCCCAAACACTTCACTCATAGAGTGGTTGTGTCGGCGTAGTTCCTTTGGTCCCGGCCCGCGCCCAGGTGATGCGATACAGGAACTGGCTTCCTTCTTCGCCTGTTTCTATCACCTGTCAACAATACGATAGGTATAAATAAAACTGTTATTTGAGTGAAAAGCAAATAAATATGAATGAAAATCATGAAGATGAAATAATTAAAGTAAACAAAGAAAAAAAGAAAGGAAGAACGAAAAAAATGAGTGTACTTAGTTCAAAACCATGAGATCTTCTGGTACAGCTAATTTGGTGCTCCTGGGCTTACACATTTCTAAAAAAAATCAGAACCAAAATTATTTGAACAACCAAATAAGAAAGCATTTGAAAACCAATATAAATAAAAAAAAAAACGAACCGAATTGAAAATCTCTTCCTTTTGTTGAAGTCGGTTAAAAATGACTCGAGCCTCATCAAAGAAAGCGTAAGACCTATAAAAACACTAAAATACGTAGATTTTTGTAATGTTATTCCACTGCCACTGACACGTTATCTCCAGATATGAAAATCAATTCCGTATTTCCGCTGGAATGCATAGCAATACCAAAAACAGACCACGTTCCATACGCACGGACTAGCCCCATTAATAGTGCTCCTTATGCCCGAGGGCAAAAGTTTATCCCCTTCAGTTATTCGACAAGTCACGTAACTGTTACCAATTTAGCTACGAATATTCTTTTTGCAAACTTCGCTACGGCATAGGTAAACCATAGTTATGTTTATGTTTATGGTAGAATTGTGTAGAATGACGACACACCGTAATAAAATCAGTTTGGCACAACCAGCACACAATACTCGTACACTACCACAGAAGACCCAATTAGTTGTTAATTTAGTGCCTTTAAAAATAATGTAAGACATTGATTATTTCAATTCAAAAGTGTCATCATAGCTTGTCTTTGGCATACAAAATCACAAACAAAACAGCGTTTTTAGCCTAGGGGCAGATCACCGTATTTGACGATTTGCAAGTACTAATTTAATTAGTCTAAACAAATAAAGAAAATTTTGATTTTGATTTGATTTTGACCTGATAAAAGTAGCAGGAAGGCGCTGGATGCAGGCCACTACCAACCGTGCGATGTGGAAGTCATTGGGGGAGGCCTATGTTCAGCAGTGGACGACGACGTGGATCGGGCTGTTGATCAGTATGGAGATAATGAAAGTGCGCACATTACACCGATTTGGTATCGTCCGATTCTTCATTCAAATTAGAATCGGGCCCAACTATAAGTCGGTGGTCTGCGCCTAGGCTTACAGCTTCTAAAAACTAAGTCAGTTGACTGGTGGTATCAATTAGCCTTTATTATTCCAATTAACCAGATAAAACAGAAGCAGACAAAAATATTGTATGCAGTTCAACAGAGTTCAACGTACAATTTGTAAGTAACAAGATTTAAGAGTGACATTTTACATACATACATACACTCCCACTTTAGTTCATTTCGCTCCCTACTCTCGTACCGCACATCTTCTCAAAATTTAATTTCCTGCTCGCAAAATTCAATTGTATTGTAAGATGTAAGGACATGACTTTATTAAAAAAACGTTTTATTTTACTTCTCTCACATAAAAAAGGATTAACGAGTTCATGTTATTGAATAGGGAGACCGAGGTGAGTTGTAACAGGAGAGAGTTGTTGTGACACTGTCGAATTTTTGGAACTTGCTACTAGCTTGTAAAAGTGCGCGTTTTTAGGGTTCCGTAGTTCTGACAAGGAACCCTTATAGTTTCGATATGTCTGTCTGTCTGTCTGTCCGAGGTTTGTAATTAATCACGCCGACAAAACGGTAGAATAAAATTTTGTAAAAAAATTACATGTAAAGTGGGGATGAATTTTTTTTTATTCTTCTACCCCATCGTGTGGGGTATCGTTGGATAGGTTTTTTAAAAATGGCTTAGGGGTTTCTAAGACTATTTACGATTTAGGTATCCGTTTGCAAATTGTTAAAGTTTAAAGTGCCAATTTTTGTTCGAGTAGGGCGTCCCCCCCCCCTCTAAAAACTAAAATGATGACTTGAAAAATCTGAAAAAATTCATGATAATAATGCTTTTTATGAACTTTCAAGGAAACTATAACGGTTAATATCAGTTAGTTTAAGAGTAATAGTCGTTTTACTTAGATGAAGTAATTTTTGCTTCTGAAATATATTGTGGTAACGAAGGACAACTACGGAATCCTACACTGCGCGACACGCACTTGGCCGGTTTTTTATTTAGTTCAAGTTTAGAGTTAAAAAATGCGCGTGGTTGCGATACTGCGCGAGCTGATAGATAAATAATAGGTTTCCAAAAATTGACACTGTCACAGCTCTCCTGATACAACTGACTCCTCTAGAATGAAAATGGCTGCGTTGGAAAGATAAAAATGTATATTTATTACAATGCAATGCAATTTTTCTGTATTCCAGGATGGTACAGGTTGGATTGCGTTTATACCAGAAGGAAATGTAAAATGTTTCCTCAATTTTCAGTGCAATTTCTCGGTAAGGTTCAAGTATGTGAGTATTGTGTTGGATATTTTTGTGTATTGTATTGGTAAATCATCCTGTATATTTAACTCATACAAAAATGTTACATGAGACCCGTGTCGATATGATGAAGAATAGTGATGATAATGCTATTATTGTAACTAGAATAAGTATTTTGAAGAAGCAATAAAGGACTTTATTATTATTATTTTGAGTTGTTTTAAATTCTCAGCATTTTATGTTATCCACGGGTCGAGACCAAGTGGATAGCATTGATATGATGTTTAATTTAGTACTCATTACATGTGGAGCGCGCGTCAGCTAAAAATTTTCGGGTGATTCGGCATGAATTTAAAATAACAGCTTTCTGCATTAAGTGATATGAGTTGCTTTTTAATTTGAGGATGTCCAGGTTCTTTATTAAGGATTTGGGTATTACGCCTGTTGTTGATAGTACCACAGAATAATAATAAGTACTACGTACAGAAGTTTTACTTCGCTAAGGTATTTAAAAAAATGTATGCTCAATGTCATTAACAATATGGTGTAATTTAGCCTGTCTCAAGAGTCAAGCACCATTTTTTTGACAAACGTCAGTGATCGGCACTGCGCCGAAGCTATAGGGCTGACTTCGGTAAAATGATGTGACGTGAGGTGCCAAACTGCGGAAAATGGCGGAGGAAATACGTGATTTAGCATGAATTATCATGAATAATATTAACTACTTATTTACCTCTCAGTGTCTTGAGGCAACTTAAAAAAGTACATTCTGTGTTTTTATTATTATTTAGGCACTTAAATACTGCACAGTATTTAGTAGGTTCCTACACCATTTTCTTTATTTTCTTCCATCATACACAAGAATACGCGTGCGTGAGTCAATGTTCGCTCGTATGTGAGGTCTTGTCGAATAGTATCCTGTAGGTGGGCCATCGTGCGTGTTTTGTTTTCGATATAAACTCGCGGAGATGAACAGGCCTGGTAGTACTATTATTATTATAAAATAGCTGACCTGTGTAACGGGGCGCAGCACGACGGGCGCCGGCAGTGCGGGGTGCCCGCTGCTTCCCAAAGCAGTACTTTGCGAGCCGCTGCTAAACACAATCCTCTCCTTCCAGCCCATCCAGCTCTGCGAATGAATAAATATATTAGGGAACTACCCAAAAAATATACAGGGTGGAATTTTGTAATGCCACCTGGAGAGAATGTACTCTTAATACTGTAGATAGAAAATTTTGCTGAAAGAAAACATTCCTTTATTTTTGAAAAGAAAGAGAACTGCATTCAAAGATTTTAGATTTTTTTTCGAAAATTCACTGCCATACCATACAATTTTCTCTAGGTACATAATTAAAATAATTTAAGATTTCATGGTTTTTCTTTCATTTGATTTATCAAGTTTGTTAGAGAGATTTCATCCTTATACTTAACCCTTATGATCGATGCAATAAAAATACAGGGTGTAATTTTTATCAGATTTTAGTTGGTTCGATTTCCGGGTGTGGCAAGCAAATTTTTGGAAATCTTTGAATGCAGTTCTATTATTTTTTTTCAAAAATAAAAGAATGTTTTCATTGAGAAAAAATTCTATCTACAATATTAAGAGTACTTTCCCTCTAGGTGGCATTACAAAATTCCACCCTGTATGCCTAGTTTGCACCACTAGGATCGATAGGCTAATACGCTAAAACAATGCCGAGGCTAAATGTGGACACACCGTTATTTGGCTATAGCTAGATATTCAAACCTCACCCTTCATCATTATCATCATCTCAGCCATAGGACGTCCACCTCTGAACATAGGCCTCCCCCAATGCTTTCCATGTTGCCCAGTAGGTAGCGTCCAGCGACTTCCTGCTACCTTTACGATGTCGTCGGTCCACCTTGTGGGTGGACGTCACATGCTGCGTAACCTCACCCTTACTCAAGTGAATCTCAGACATTTCAGTAAATTTTATTCATCATAATTTTCAAATTTATAATTATTTTCAGTTCAATCGTTTTTGTCTGTCCATACTATAGGAACACAACCCTGTATGATGAGCTAGCAACGATATTGAACGTTCTATAATGACTAGTTCGAGTAAATCTCAGTCAATCAAACATTCATCAGTATCAGGTCATTTAGACTCCACTGCAGGCGCACAGCCCTCTCTAATTTACCAGAGGCAAACGATTTGGCCTAAATTATCTACGCCAGACGTATTGGGAAGGCCTGATGTGCAATCAATCATAATTTTATTGCCAAAGTTGCTTAGAATTTAATGTCAGTTTTGAGAAAGACACGGGGATTGACGACCGTATTCACAAACATTACTATAAGGTCTCACAGTGCGCGTGTGGATGCACAGGGTGACACATGAACCAATCAAACTTCACTTGCAAGTATCGTTTGTGAATACGGGGGTGAAACTCTCAAATAAAAAAGAATTGCGTCAAACCACGTCAAACTAATTATCATTAAAGTCTAATTAATAAAAACAAAACGTGTAAAAAATGTTTCTATTTATCTGTACTGATAAAAGTTAGACATATAGGTATCTATTGAAGCCTTTTGTCACACAGTTTAATTTTAATTAGTTTGCATGTAGGTAGACTACAGGTTCTATCTTATCAAATTAAATGACGTCAATTGATGTCTGACGTTATAAAAGGTGAGATAAGTTTTGTCTGGGAATCCCTAATCATTCGTACCTACCTACGAGTATAGGTAATCTAGTACCTATTTGTATAAAATTAAGACTATCTCCTAAACTAAGCAAAATCGTAGAACATACATGGGGGTGACATAGACACATCTTGATTAGGAATTCAAATGTTAGCTTTGAACGTCAACTCAATGGCCACCCTGTACTAAAGCTTATTATTCGTCTTGTTCTAGTTCTGTTATCATCAATGGTAGGTATCTAAAGTTACTTTCTTAATGCACATTTTTTTATTTGATGCTCTACTACTAACTAGGTAGGTACTATTAAATATACCAGTAAGTCGGTAGCGAAACTATAAGATATCGCTGCCACGTGGCACATTTTGTAAAGACATGGAAGATCCCTATTCAAGGAGATTTTATTCCAGGGAATGTCAATTGACGCGTGTTGGCTTCATAAGATAAACATCGTTGAAAGGAAAACATTTTAGTCGACACAAACGATTCGCTAAGTGCCTCGTGTACAGCTGGGGAGTGAAAACGTAGGAATTTTTCCTATAAAATAGAATACCTGTGTTTACGCTGAAACACGTAGCGACGGCGAAGTGACAATACCTAACTAACATTTCTTAAGAAATCTATTTTCTTAATACTAATAATAGGCTTAAAATTTAATTTCGCGTGGACTTTTTCCATTCGAAATTTTTCTCCTAACTGATATTTCTTATTAGATAAACCTTTGTGGAAATAGCTGTTATTTGGGCAAGTAATATTTACGTATTTTTTTATATGTCCTGAAAACCCAAAAGATAAATGCAGTTAGGAGGTATTGTCAATTCACCGTCGATATGGGAGGCTAACGATATTTAAAACAATAGGTCAGTTCATTAATCACCTTTTGTTTTAAATTCTAGTAAAATTAATGTAGTAAAAGTGTTATATATTTTTTTCTTGCCTTGGTTTTCTTTAATAAGACATTGTTCTCTCTGCAGCATAAATGTAAGCGTCAGTTTCTTGTATAAAAGAAAGTTTTTAACATTGAGTACAATGGTTCTACAAATGGAACCTCGTGAACACAATGGCCACTGAAATCGTCTCATTGGATATTTATGACTTCAGTTTTTCCTTTTAAAATAGTTTAAAGTACCCTGAAGTATGAAATTGTATACAGCAGGTAGTTAAATAAATGAAAAGAGAATGAAGTTTACATTTAAAAAAGTACAGACACATTTTTATCGAAAATAAATGTATGCTTAATAAACATGTTGTATTCATTCCAATATTAAAATATTATTTTATACGAGTAAAATATCACTAAGGCCCAGAACAGACGGTGAAACGCAACTGCAACGAAACTGAGTTGCATCTAAGTTTCTGCCATAGCGTCCGTTGAGAGACCACACATGACGCGACCAGTTTGAAACTTTCAGTTTCAGTTTCATTCATCAGAATCATCAGAAAGTTGTAGTTTCGTTGCAGTTGCGTTTCACCGTCTGTTCTGGGCCTTAGTCTATCAGTTTAATACAATATGTAATGAAGGCCCAATCCAATTTAAAAGTTAATTAACTAGCACGAGCGAGTGGATCAAAAATATCCTGTAAAAAGTCTATTTGAGTACCTAATCAAAATCACGTCTCTCTAATAGAACAGGGTTTTTAAATGCTGTATCGTTAAAATCAGTTTGTACTGCTCGAAAATGTGTAATTGAATACATATAAAAATAAATTTATTGGCTTTACCTTGCAGTGGGACAGGTGGATATCAGTTTGTGTATTTGTTATGCATGCACGCACACAAACGTTTTTCAACTTCTGTCTATTTAATTCCTTCTCTTCTTTTTGTTTTGATAATGTTAGTCAGATACTAGATTAAATTTTTTGCTTTTTTCTACGTCCCATAACTACCTCATTAAAATAAAGATGAAGTTTTGCATAACTTCCTAGTGAAGACCTGGTATGCTGTAGCATATTTTATATATCTTAATAGGCATAGAAGCTTGTCTCTACGAAATAATTTTATCATAAAAATAAAGTCAGTCATGACAATTTTTGTTCTTCTTTTGAACCAAAAAGCTGTAGATACAAAAGCCTCCCAAGGATTTAATTTTATAATTATTATAAGGAAAGTAATAAGTCTTCAGACATACCTGTGCGTCCAGTGTGGCTGCCCCTTACTATACAGGCTGTAACGTCCTGGCTTGAAGGTGGTGGAGTGGCTTGCTTACACTCGGACTTCTCAGAAAAACATCCCCTGAAATACTAAATACCATTAAAGTTGTTCGTTTGTAGTTGCAATGCAGTGTAATAATACTGAGAGCATTGGAAAATAGTTTCGAAAAAAAAAGTCGTGAACATTCTAATCATTTAGGGCTATATTTCACCGGGACACCATGGCGGCGCAACCATCCGCCGCTACCAACAAAATGTATAGAGCTTTGCGCAACCAAACGGACACCAGGTGAGTAACTCTCTATAGAGCTGTATACATTTTGTTGGTAGCCGGCGACTGGTTGCGCCGCCATGGTGTCCCGGTGAAATATAGCCCTTGCCCTAGCCCTAATGTGGAACATTTTAGTTGTGTTATGTAACTACAACGTGAAATGGGAAAGAATAATCAAATCTAAACGAAATGTAATATTTGGATACACTTTCATTCGAATTTTGCGTGTGAAGCGTTTACGTGTGAAAAAAATAAAACCATAACTACTTTGTGGTATTATTATCGTCCCCGAAAAGGCGCCTAAACGACAGTAAGCTAAATTACGCGATAAGATAAGACGTATCATACATTTTGCCACCCCTGCGGTAACTGATTATTTCCTTTTCCTTCTGCTATCCGTATTCCGTGCCTAACCATCTTTTAGTTTGTTTTCCCCATAAATTGTAAATTATTACGTAAAGATAAAATTAATTGTATAAAAAAGCTTAATAATTATGAACTTTATTAATTTATAACTGTAAAGAACATTGAACTTTTAGGCTACTTTTAAAACGATTTATCAATTTAACGAGCCTCAACTTCAGAAAGCGAGGTTGCTTTTATTGAAAATAAGAAGTTTATTTGGAAAAGAAACATTCAAATAACGATGTTGTATTGAGCATTGATTTTCAAATAGATAAAAAAAACAGGAATACGGAAAAATCGGAAAAAAGGGACACATTTAAAATACATTTGAAAGGAAAAAGTATCAAATGCGTAGGTCTGCGAACAAAATATGAATAGGTATATTCTTAGAATAAAAATACGATTTTATACTCTAATGAGACGAAGATAAAGGTTCGAAATATGCACGGAAATCGGTATGTGGAATTCGAATAAAAAATAATGAAAGTCGCAGGTGTTCCAAGAATATAATAACGGATTTCGCACTGGTAAGCGGAATAGCCGCAAATTTTCAAAGTCGGTTACGAAAATAATAAGATAAGCATTTTCACGCAAAACCCAGTTTCGCAAATTCGTTTTATTTAAATTAAAGTTTGCTGAGTAAATATTTGCCAAAACTTGAGCATTTAGTGAATGTAAGAGGTCACAATAACGAATAATTAATCGAGTATCTATTTCCATAATTATTTTATTATCCCATTAATAGTTCAAAAACTTCACTTCAATTGCTTAATCAATTTCCGGGAGTGACGTGCTGACAGACCTCTTCCTTCTCAGAACCATTATCCATAACATGCTTCGAGATACCACCATTAAGTAGTTCACATACCGATTATCCACTATTCGTTACCAATGTCGAGTATTTTGCCAGATCATCGGTAATTCGCAAGCAAAGGGTGGGATTTCCTACGTCATTACTCCCAAACACAAAGCCGTAATTAAGGCTTAAACCACAAGTGAATAAGCATCTATAGAATAAGGTTGATTCAAAGATCGCATCTTCCACACCCTTCGGGTTAGATTGTTATCAAGAGCGAACCCATTCATATGAGGAAATGGAGTTAACGCAAACATTAATTTGGGGTTTACGTCTTGGGAGGAAGAACGTGTTGCTTACTTTACAGTAAAAGGAAATTATACTTTGTTTACTTTGAATTACCCTGTATAATATAAAACTGAATGTCATTAACCTATAAAGATGTGTAGGGTAAGTTTGACTAGGCGTTTCATTTCAAAATTATGCCACGATTTCGACTTGAAAAGTATGACTACGATATGCGATTCAAATACATGGGAAATGTAATAACTGCCTTAAAATGCAATAAGCTAGATCTACAACCATCCCACGAATACGTGGCTTGACTTGTAATGCGAAAAGTATGCATACCCACTGAATGCAGTTTTGCCATTACACTCTCATATCGGATACGATATCGCAAATCTAATGGAATATTTACTGGAAATACATTTTTATTAATATCTGAACTGAACACTCTTGGGCCCCAATCATTTATACCAGAATTTCAAAATATTAAAAACAAGTGAAAATACCAAGAACGAACCCTTTAAGAAAAAGATTTAATACTGTTATGTAGATATTTATAAGCACCCTCGTATCCGTGGGAGGACAAGAGCTGATAAGTTAAGAATTTAATTTGAATATTATTACATTGAAGCCCCCAACGCTTTCTTGGTGACGTATTGTCATGATTACAGTCTGACCTTTATAGGACGTAAATATAACAATAAATTACTTTTCAATTGTAGACGCATCATAATTATTCATAAATGCCTGTTTATGAAAGGGCTAGTTTAAATTGTTACAATATTATAATGTCCTCATAGTTCACAAGAAGCTGGCAGGCAAATATTGGTTAAATTAGTTTGAATTGGCTCATTTATTACATATCGTAGATAAAAAAGTTTATTTTACTTGGTATAAGTTATTCGAGCTGAACTTGACAGTTTTAATAATAAATACATTACTACTTTGCTCAGAAAATGTCAAAAAAAAGTTTAAATCCCATGCGTGTAATAAGCTGTTATCAACTGCAATTCATGCACCTTCTGATGCCTTCGCAATTATGGCACAATCATATGCCAATGACAGGTCGCGCGACCAATGACAGTCCGCGCGACCTGTCATTTGCCTATGATCGCGCCGGCGATGGCGATCTGCACGCGTTGGTGTGGTTGAAGCAAATAACAAAAATACCTGAACAGTTTGCAGGTCTTGAAGAGCGTGATGAAGGCCTGCCTGAACTTGCGGTTCATGAAGCAGTATGTGATCGGGTTGCAGCAGGACGAGCAGTAGGCCAGCAGTTGTAACAGAACCACACCCTTGGAGCCGATGTACTGGTACAATTCCTCAGGGTAGAATAAGTAGATCTGCAAGAGATTTTGGGTTTTATTTTGGAAATAATAAGTATACGAGTATAACGCCCGTATTCACAAACATTACTATGAGGTCTCACAGTGCGCGTTGATGTACAGGGTGACATACAAACCAATCACAGAGCTCTATTCGACGTTTGTAAATACGGGCGTAAGACTCGAGTGCTCACTATTATGTTTCCAGAATGAGCGTTTATTGACATGGCTTGAATCCAGCTGGGACGATAGAATTTTGTCGCTTAATGAAAATCATATCGATTTTAGACGACCAATGTGCGTAAGAAAGTTGGTTTAGGATCTAAAATCGATATAATTATGTTGACTTGTACATATGACTGCACATTTGGTTAACACTGTGAGACATTGAGATTGTAATAGGCTCTATCTTAAATTACGATTTAGTTACTTGTCTGAGGTGCTATTAATTGTACTTAAATGTAAGACAGAACCATTTGTTAGCGAATCTCTACAGTTTAAATTTATCAGCTTTACAGTGTTAACGAGGCTATTTACTATTGCAAGTCTGCTATTTATTTGTAGTCAGGATTTACACTGTAACTGCCAATAAAATCCTTATAGATTGGGTTTTATTGGAGAGAGAAAATTAAACTGTCATTAGACCCGAGCCGGACCCGTTTAACGTATCCGATTGAGACTCAATTCGAGTAGGTATGTCACGTATTAAACGTACAGTCGAGAATATAAATATCGGACTTTACTCACATTTGCTACATAACAACATTATTTCTGCAAGTAAATTTTTAGCAAAGCTAACAAATTTTTTATCTTGATAAATCGTTGCCGTATTTAACTTTTTACTTAAACCCCACAAGTAAATAAATAAACACTCACAACCTTATTAATCACATCAATATTAAAATATTTCAAATTATAGACATTTCTCCAGAGAGTAAACAGGATGACAAAAGGCAAACAGCGAATAAAAAGTACAGAAAATTACAATTTACAAATAAGATAAATATTGTTATCATTACTTTCAGCTCCATTCGAATTGCTCTGAATAGGCTTAAATTACCTACTGAAACGACGCCGTCACAAAATTGATATTTTGTCGCGATGTTAGGCAAATATCGTTAAGTTTATGGGCTGAAATGAAATGGAATTGATATTTCAGGTTGTCGTTTGTTTATTATAAAGCATTCAATTTTGAGAATCTTATCACTTAGCAATACGAGTACATGAAACTGGTGTATTTTCAGTCACTTTAATAGATTGTGTTAAATGTTCGGTATTGCTGCATGTTTTCAGTTTTGATATTAAAAGCTTACTAATTTACAAGTTTTTCCGTTATTTGAATTTTGTTTGTTGATAATTTTATGAAATTAAAAATCTTTAAAAACTCCTCCAGTACAAGTTCATCCACGCCTTAGAATGTTGCCTTTCAAAAACAAAGTATTTTCTAGGTAAGTAAAAAGTAATAAGGTTATGTTTTCTACATACATATTTGGCTGAAAAAATGTTTTTTGATCCTCACTTAAATTATACAGTTCCTTGATTTTTTACCCGCGATTAAGGCAAGAAAAGGTCCAAATATGTTTTCACCCAAAACTTTATGAAGCGATGAAATCACGTTCCAAGGGGCATCGTAAACAAATCGGGGACCCCGGGGTCGATTATACGAAAAATAATCCGGTTGAGGTCGCTAAGGTCGCAAGTAAAGTTCGCCAAACTTTTTGGATGAGGAGAGATAGTGCGGGATTGGATGCGCAAATAATTTGGTTTCCCTCAAGACTGCTGTCACCTATTTCGATTTGTGTTTAGATCCATTTTCACTGGGGCACAAGTTTTCATTTTGCAGGTCGATGATTTGAAATCAAAAATATTCCCTTTGATAAAAAGATTCCCTTACTGTGTTTATCACGTGCAGTGGAGTCCAACAAATGAAGAATTCGAGTATTATGACGAACAGCATTCGTATTACCTGTAACAAAAAAAAATCATTTTAGAATTTACCGCGTCTAGAACACCAAAACATCAATACTTTACAATGCTAAATTTTCTTCAATAAGGGCTACCTTATTTGCTTTCACCAGTTTTTCAGAAGGACAATGCCACGCTTAATTTTCATACAACACATAATTATAAAACTCAGGATATAAACTCAAAATTGATTAGGGGAAATTTTCCATGGTGGTAAGTTGACTCACTGGCGAGTGCCGACCGTACTTCAATGTTGAGTGTCCGATAAAGACAGTTCCTGGAATAAGCTAGCTCAGCAATTTTTTTATGTTTTCGACTGTAAAAATTACGATAAGCTTAATTATACAGAATGACCAATATAAAGGCCAATTTCTGGTAAAGCACAAGAAAATATTTATTGAAATTGAAAGTTTCGACCCAGTTTCGATCTTTACAAATGCAATATTAAATTGAACAGGTAGGATAAGCTATCAAATTACCATCAACGAAAGCTTTCGCACAGTATTTAATTGATCCAACTTTAATTGCTTTATGTTAATTAGTTTAAACATTGAGGACATTAATTGGTTAACGTCCACACAATACCAGGAAATAATTACTACCTACCAACGAATTTCGGTAACGAAACGGACCCTCACATGATGGATTCTTTACCACGTCCTTCAGGTGGAATACAGCACTGTATCTCTGTATTCTTATCGACATAATAATAATGTTAAAAGCAAATTATATAAACGGAAACAAACGACACCAAAAAACTTTTCTTCAAAAAAAAAAAAAAAAATCAAAAATCAAATAATTTATTGTGCATAAATTTGGGTACATTACATTTGCAGTAGTTATTGCAATAATAAAGTTAGATCGCCAAATCCTACCATTACAGGTGTATACACATTTCTCTTAAAATAAAATTAAAAAACTATTCCTTATGCTCCATAAAATCTTTCAAACTATAGAAACAATGTTTCAATAACCATAATTTAGTGAGCCTCTTAAACGAACTTAAACTTAATTCATCATCTTTAAAGCGATCAGGTAATTTATTATAGATATCTATACACATAATATAGGCATTTCGTGACACTGCAGACAGTTTTACACATGGTTTATGTAATTTGTACAAATATTGGGATCGTATTCTCCTATTAGTAGCTTCCTGTTTTTTTACAAAAAGAGACTTATGTTTAGTTACAAATAGACAAATTTCATATACATATAAACTTGGAATAGGAAGAATATTATGTTTTTGAAAGTATGGCCGACAGGAATCGGTTTTTTTAATGCCAAATATAGCTCTTATACATCGCTTTTGTATCAAGAATATGCTGTGGATATCCATCTATAATATAAGATATTCTTCTATAATTACTTCTTTTATTCAAATGTTTTATTGAGCGACAACGCAAATAATCTTTTTTGTTTTTCTTGACAGACCAGCGTAGATATTAATATCATATTATTACCTTCAATATCTGAGCTCCTTTAATAATCCGACCTATCAATGTGCAAGATCATAGTCATCTTCTGACAGCTGAAATTTCATCAAAGTCTTGGGAGCCTTATAATATCAAAGCTACGAGCTTTTGTGAGAGAATAATTGCCCGAGGTATTGTTTACGAGTCAATGCGACAATCAAAGATCCAAAGACTTACTGTCTCAAATAGATTTGCGCATTTTACATCAGTAATAATGAATTTTAAAAGTTCAAGGACCTAGTTGCCTAACTTCTTCTTCTTCTTCTTTTCAGCCAAATGACGTCCACTGCTGGACAAAGGCCTCCCCCAAGGTTTTCCCCAATGAACGGTCCTGCGCTGCTCGCATCCAAGCTCTTCCCGCGACCTTTACCAAAATAATTTATCCGTCAGAAAAACAAAATCTCTTAAATGCTTTCAGATACCGTTATTATTATTGTACATACTGTTATATCTTTTTTATGCCAGGAAACTATAGGTATAGACAAGGGTAAGCTAATCGTTTCAAGTACAATCCAGTTCCGGACACTATTTGCGCATCTCTAATATCTTCTCTTCTTGTCGTGACGACAACAAACCTACACAGCGTCAACCCAAACTCCGCCACAAGAGTGGCGTTGTCAGTAGCCTTCATTAAATCTTCCTGCGTGCAGTTGTTTGGGCACGCAGGGCACGACATCATGTGCTTCGTCGATTGGGGAACAAAACTACACTTGCACTCCAAGTTTGATCTCTAGTATGATGCTTAATAATTTGTCAACCTGGATGCGGCCAGGTCAAAGGGTATACAGCCCGCATAATGTGTAATTACTTTGACCTGACCGCAGACCGCATTCAGTGGCAAATCCTTTAATCAGGAACCGATAACTGGTCGTAAAATCTATTTATTACCAACCGGGCGATTATACGACCTTTGCTTATTAATTTTACCGGCAATCATCTACGCTCTAATACTCCCGTAATTTTTAAGGGCCAGGTTTTCACGGGGTAATTGGTTGTTCTGTGTGTTACGATATACGGTATACAGCTCATAAAGTATGCCGCTAAGGCCGTAATACCCCGCTTAATGTAATATTGTACAGGCCGTTTAGGAAAATTCTCAGAAAGTCGTAAACAGAGGTATATTTCACACCTCTATACCCTGTGTAGCGATGTAGCATGTGCTCATGATAAAGAGTTGAATAAAATTTATGATCCAACTTTGATATAAATCGAAAGCTTTTAAGAAATGTTTTTATTTTTGTTGCCTCTGGTAATAACACAGATGTGTCAGTCCAAAACTATGCCACAAGAGTGGCGTTGTCAGTAGCTTTCAATAAGTATTCCTGCGTGCAGTTGTTTGGGCACGTAGGGCACGACATCATGTGCTTCTTCGATTGAGGAACAAAATCACATTTGAATTTCAAGTCGAGTCGATAGCACATCATGATAAACCTGATAAATATATCTTTCTTTCTTTCTTTCTACACCCTGTGGCATTTTAACTCTTTGTAACATAAAACATACACAGGAAATCCCCATTTCTGTTGCTAAAGCTCTTTTTAGGGTTCCGTACCTCAAAAGGAAAAAACGGAACCCTTATAGGATCACTTTGTTGTCCGTCCGTCCTTCTGTCAAGACCCTTTATCTCAAGAACGCGTGAACGTATCAAGCTGAAATTCACATGAAATACTCAGGTCTATTGTTCCTTTAAGCTGTGAAAATATCAAACTTCTAAGCCAAGCCAATCAAAAGATACAGCCGATTATGTCGATATTTTCAACAAATTTTCGACACTCGCAAAGGAATTAAAACCTACAGGATACTTCCCGTAAACTCAGAATCTTGAAATTTGGCATAAAGCATTGTCATATAATGCAAATATAGGAAAAATTGCGAAAATTACATTTTTTTAGTTATATAATATAATAAAAATATTTTAATAAAATGAAACTTACTACCTTATTTCTCACGAACGAATAAAGGTATCAAATTGAAATTTATACCAAATACCTAGATCTATTTTGTCCCTTTAAGAAGTAAAAAAATCAAACTTCTAAGTTAACGCGATCAAAAGATACAGCAGTTTATACTGACACCTTAGACGAATTTCCGTCACACGCTAGGGAATCAAAACCTACAAGGTACTTCCTGTGAACTCAGAATCTTGAAATTCGGCACGAAGCAACGTTATATAGTACAGATAAAGGAAAAATTGCGAAAATGATAAATTTGAAGTTATATAAAATTTAAAATATTATTTTTGCTTACATGACATAAAATATTTTTTTAATAATTATAAACTTACTACCTACCCTTTTTCACATGAACGCGTAGAGATATTAAAGTTGAAATTCATATCAAACACTTCTTAAATCTAATTGCCTCTAAACTGTGAGAAATTCTAAATCAACGCAAAAATTCAAAACGCTGAGGTAGGTACCTACCTATAATGCAAATATAGGAAAAATAAATAAATAAAAAATAATCATACCGCATATTTTGAAATTCGCCACTACTCGCAACGGAATCAAGTAAGTAATTTGATTTAATACGTCATAAATTGTAAACCGCTACGTTTGTACGGCGGAACCCTCGGTGTGCGAGCCCGACTCGCACTTGGCCGGTTTTTTCAAAGAATAAAACTGTGACTCGATCAAATTGAAAATGTCTTAGTTACATCGTTGTTAGTAAGGCGCTCCCTCTACTTCATGCGCGTGTAGTTTGTTAGGTTTAACTACTTTCAGTGGGAAATAAGACGAGTGTATGACAATACTGTATGTTTATAAAACTTATAAGAAAAAAGAAATGCCACAGTATTGAAATGGATATAATAAAAAAAAACATTAATAAAATCGATTGAAAATACAAAAATAAATCAGTTTTTCCTCGAAATCGACAATAAAATAAACTTGCTAGTAACCACCGTTTATATTTTGTAATAAATAATTTAAAACTTTGCTTTGGATTAATAAGTACATATTTGTATCCAAGCAAAGTACCTACCTAAGCTTATAGGAGTCTTTATTTAGTTACATAATAGGCCAGTCAATGTCGACATCAAAACATCGTAAACACGCTTTTTTACAGTATTTATGATGTTGTTAGGTCCCTTTATAGTTTTTACCTTTATTTGCAACAATGCGCCAAAATGTAACTTTGGCGCTTTCTTCACTGTTTTGGGGAAACTACCACAAGAGAGCGTTTTGTCGATATCGTTGCTTCATATTTTACTAAATTTAATATAGTTTGCCACCGTTTGAAGTTCATTCCAATGCTCTTAGTAAATTTTTTTGCAGATACAGCAAGTCAAAGGAAATAATTTATAATACTGAATAACTCAGGCGCTTATTTCAGTTATTTTAAATATAAAAAATGTTTCCAGGTGTCTTTGTTTAATAGTTTTCTAAAGTCAATTAAATTTTCTACAATTTGAGCTTAATCTAGCATTCTAGAACATAAACATCTCAGCACGGTCATTTGCATAAATCATGAGAGAGAAGTTGAAGAAAATATAATCACTTTTCATTTGATTTCAATAATATGGTATTTCTAGGTTTCATAGAAACATAAGTTTGCTCAAGAATGAAAACAGTAATAATGATAAAAACAGTGTACTGAATAATGTTGGTAATATATTTAAATTTAAATTTAAGAAACATAAAATACTATCATTCACTCGTCTCCTTTCTCACTGAAATTAGTTGAAACTAATAGAGTACAGCTGTCTGGAGTAGAGAACGCCTCACTGACAACTATGTAACTAAGACATTTTGAATTTGATTGAGTTAAAAAAAACCTGAATAGATAATGAGTTGCTCGTTATGTGTGCTTTACATAATAAAATTTTCTGTCTATTATTTATATTTTCGAGACTGTTAATTGAAAATATGGACTTGAGATTTTATTTTGATAAATATTTTCGTAATTGTAATTCAGCTGAGGTTATTACACATATTACAGCATTATATACCACTTAATTACATTTAATTTGATACCCCACACATGCAAATAAGGTTGTTAGAACTAGAATAAAGGCAATTTTTAAAATGTTACCCTAAGAGAATGGACTATTTCATTTTGTTATCACCATTCCCGATAGTTTTGTGGAAAAAAAGAACTTTTCTTTGCAAAAACTTAGTTTGATTTTATAAGTTAACGTTTAATTTTGCAGGATTCGAAAAATACAGATGTGGATAGTGCTAGCCTAAAAAGCAGTTATATGAAAAGGTTTAGTAATTAACTGCCTTTAAGTTATGCATAACTGTATTAAAAGTTGTTAAAAATTTTTGGAAGAGAAGTTAAGCGATATCTACTTGCCTAGAAGGCGGCTATGTGTAATTAGCCGCTTTTTTGCTATGGATATGTTAATAACTTCCTATCTTTTCTGGCAGTTATTAATAAATCCATAACTTAAAAGCAGTTATGATTCTTTAGCCGCCATTTAGTTCTGCACACTTGAAGCAAGCCTTAAAATTTTACAAGGTTAGAAAGGAAAATGTACATTTATTGAATTAATTATTAATATTTTACAAAATCAACTTACTTCATGTGAAAGTTGAAAAAAATACCTTTTTTTTTATATATGACAACATGACAAAATGTTTATAGATACTGAGCAGCATCGGTTTGAAAATTTTGCCGCTTTTTTCTGCTCTAGCTCAAAATTCGATTTTGTCATTTAGCGGCCTTTTAGCTTATAGACGGCAGAAATCATTACAAATGAAGAAAGGAATTTACGGTGTGGTACCCTCAATGTACAATTAGATTTCGAGCGATACCACTTTTGGGCATTCTCCTTTTAAGTAGTTACTTTCCCCATTGTAATGTTATGAATTTCATTTTGTAATAAAAATACCATAGTTATGACTCGATTGTCGTAATGAACGAACTTTGTAAACCTTGCAGGTTTGTACGGAACCCTCGGTGCGCGAGTCCGACTCGCACTTGGCCGGTTTTTTACGTTTTACTTTAATGTGTAAATACTGAAACGTTGGAATTTGAATATTCAGATTCAAATACATAGTTCTTTTGTTGCCAGACCGACCAGAATACCCATTGTTTTTTGTGAAAACCCGACAAAACGGATAACAAGAAAGAGGGTGTCCATTACGATTCACAAGAAATAAACGATATTGAGTTACTATGACCCTTTACTGAAGAGTGTGTTACTACGACGTTTTATTCTGCAAAATATCTATTTCATTTAGAGTAACAAAACTGTTTATCTTTTCTTTCAAAATATTCATAATAACAAGTGTTTTTAAGGGACAGTTTATAACAATAACAAAAAAAGGAACTTTGATCATTGACCTAGGTGTCCTGTAAGTAAGTCAGCCTGTGGATAACCAGATAATTATTTATGTAATTACCTAGTAATTTTGTCCCGTAAACGAACCTTTTTATATCCATTGATATTTTTCTCCATGGACAACATAACCTAAGTGAGCATACTTTTGAGGGTCTTACACGTTTTATGAAATGCAATACAAAATGTTATGTATTCAATATGGAAAATTATCTCTCTCTTAAAAAAGTCTGCATCCAGCAAGTCTGATCAAAGTCAGTGTAACAGGATTGTCTATTGCTTTACAAAGCTTTGCATAGAGCTTATTAAGCCCGGGTGGATAAAGGCACATAGCTCACTCATAGCTGATAGCCCGCGATTGGTCCCCAAAAAATATTTACTCAGAAAATGTGAATATTTCCGGGATGAAAGTCACAACTGTATGCCTACCATGAGTTTACGTTAGGTGAGCTCGCTAGCGAATACGTCAAAAAATTCTATGAAGATTTTATTTCTTGAAAGTAGCCAAGCCACTAGGGGCGCTGCACAATATGTCATACATTTAAATGTCATTTTTTTACGCAGTCGCTAGCGAGCACACCTAACGTAAACTCATGGTAGGCACACTGATGTTTATTTTGGGAACAGTGTAGTCTTTGATTTGCGGAAACATGTACGCGGAAGGATGGAATTATTTAACGTTAGAGCAATAATATTCCTAGTTTATATTATTATTGTTACGGAGAATTGTGTATCGGTAAATAAAATTAGTATCATCGTTCTCGGAAAGACAAGAGTAACTTACCTCTATTTTATTAGTTTTGCCATTGTCATGCCTGATTGTTGTTAAAACGATTTTCTTACCTATGTTATTTACCAATTTTGTCAAAATAAAGCAAACATAAAAGTTCACAATATTCCATATCAAGTAATAAGAGTCAGCGACTTGTTGTGCATTTGTATTAGTTACAATAAATTCTACAGAATCACCTCATTGAACTGCTTTTGTGTATCGGCAGTTAAATGTCCAGTTCCTATGTGGTTAACACCCGTATTCACACGATGCTTGCAAGGGAAGCAGCAAATCAAATGCACAGCGTTGAATAGACCCTGTGCGTTCACGCGCACTATGAGACCTTTCCAATTAGTAAACCTTTGGCCTAATCAAGACTTTCAATCAAGTGAGATGAACCAAGAGTAACACAAAATTAAAGTATAAAAAGTTATTTCGAAAGTATAAAAAGCGAATTTTGAAAATTTTTCTTTTAAAGTTTCAGCCGAATGATGTCCACTGCTGGACAAAGGCGGGAGGCAAGGAATTTTTTTAAGATTTAGTAATTACACAAATTACTAATAGTCTCGTAAGCCCCTCGTACTAAGCTAATAAATATGCTTGTGTCACAAGTGAGCTTACCACAATAGTCGAGCGGCGGCAGGGACCGAACCCGCTTTCCCCGGATCACGAGTCGCCGACTCGACGGTCCAGTCCGATCCCTTCACCGTTCGGCTATCGTGGCTTTAAATCAAATCTATTTCCACAAAGACTGAAACGAACGAACGAACTTTTGAAGTATACTCACTTTTCTCTTGGCCTCGATGCTCTTGTCGATGTGTGTAGACCGAATGGCGTGGCGGAACTCCAGATCCACAGAGTGCATGCAGTACGACTGGGTGCTCTTCGTCTCCACGTCAGATTTGTCGTCCATTTCCTGGTGACAAACACACATGGTCAATAACAAGTCGTCTATAGCCCGACCAGGAACATAAAAACCCTGGCATAGAGGCGCCTCAATTGCATTTGATAGTGCAACACTGAGTACAGTCGTACCTGTGTTAAATTAATAGGCTAAATTTATGTACCAGGATTCAGGATTACGGGCTAATTTGATATTGTCATAAATTAACGAAAAAATATTATTAAAGGTAGCCTGGTTTAAATAAATTAAATGAAACCATCTATCGAGATAGCAGGATTTATTTTATTATTCATCAATAATCAAATTCAGAACTTGAATATTCAACTGCAATGTCTGCTCATGAACGCTTCAAACTCGGTACTTCTTTCCCAATTCCATAAAATTCAAAACTTAGAAAGTGACAAAAAACTTTAAAATAGGTAGTTGAAACAAACTACAGCTAATTTTCATAGTGGACTGTACTATACGATAAACATGTCAGTCAATTTGACAACCTTTGTCGGAAACATTATTCAATGAAAATATTGTCCGAACCCTTAGTATTTCTCTTCGACAAATACATTAACACATTGTGAACCACTTTTCTTTCACGACTATAAAAATATTTTAGCAATCTAATTCACAAAATCAATTGCACACATTTAAAATAAAGTTTGTTTACACTTTGACAGCAATAGACTGACATGCAAGGTGACATGTCAATGAAGTTTTCAGTTACTGTTGCCATTAAAAGAAATTAGTACCATTAGTTTTCCGCAACATGGCGAGGGTTTTTATGTTCCTGGTCAGGCTATACATGTTCTCATCATCATCATCATCATCATTTCAGCCTTAGGACGACCACTGCTGAACATAGGCCTCCCCCATCGATTTCCACAATGGCCGGTTGGTGGCGGCCTGCATCCAGCGCCTTCCCACTACATAAATAAGAATTCTACACTCGAAATCAAATAAATCGCACCTCCTGCGACAAGCACTTTCAAACGAATGCATCCCTATTTCCCACCAATATTGGCACCATTTAAAAGCCTAGTTCTAAACTTCTTTTCTTTAAGGGAAAGGTTTTTACCTCAAAAATGTGTCTTTAGAAGGATCCAGAGTCACTTCTTAAAAAATAGGCAGTTACGCTTGAGCCAACTTTTATGGCTATAAAACTGTTAAAGAGGACACGTGAGAATGATCATTATTTGGTTTTATAACCATTTTTATTGGTCTTTCAAATAACACCAATATTGTTGGGACACGATGATTGTGTCAAAAGAAAATCTTTAAAGTTCGCGTTGCGGAAGGTGCGATTTATTTGATGTTGAGTGTATTATGCAAAAAAGAGAAATATTTCAACATTAGGGCTCTTCAACCAGTCTATCTACATAATTTGTGAAAGACTTTGATGGCATAATAAATAATAATGATTACTTCAAATTTCACCTTAATTTCATTAGAGTTGTGTGTTATTTATAGAGAGATTTATAGAGTACTAGCTTTCCGCCCGCGGCTTCGCCCGCGTGGAATTTTGTCTGTCACAGAAAAATTTTATCGCGCGCGTCCCTGTTTCAAAAACCGGGATAAAAACTATCCTATGTTCTTTCCCGGGACTCAAAATATCTCTATGCCAAATTTCATCAAAATCGGTTGCGAGGTTTAAGCGGGAAAGCGTAACAGACAGACAGACAGACAGACAGAGTTACTTTCGCATTTATAATATTAAGTTGGGATAAATGAACTTATTTAACCTAAAACAAACATACTTGTTGAGGAATTATAATTTAACTTCATCCCACGCGGACGTATTGAAGTAGCATGAGGGAATCCGCATCCGTTTTCGCACAGATGGCAGCCTGTTCAACTTAGCCAGACTTAAGGCGCGCACTAAAGTCTCGTATGCACTGATCACTGAGATCATGTATGCTGATGATTTGTGCTTTCTAGCAGAATCCTCAGAAGGCCTGCAACAGCTGATGTCCGTCTTTCACCAGGCATGCTGCAAGTTCGGCCTGAAGATAAGTGTCAAGAAGACAGAAGTGATGTCTTTGGACACAAATGACCACGAGTCTCTAAGCATTATGCTTGGTGAGGATGTACTGAAACAGGTGGATAAGTTCCGATATCTGGGGAGTACTATAACATCCAAATGTGACCTTGATGCCGAGATCAGCAGCAGGATCAGTGCTGCAGCTGCAGCATTTGGGAAGCTGCGTTCCAAGGTTTTCTGCTCGCATGACCTAAAGCTGGCTACAAAAATTTCAATATACATGGCGGTTGTGCTGCCAAACCTACTGTACTCCTCCGAGGCGTGGTGCGTGTATCGCCACCATATACGCACACTGGATCGTTTCCACCTCAAATGCCTTCGTACCATCATGAAGATCAGATGGTCTGATCGAGTGCGCAATACCGAGGTGCTACGACGAGCCCATGTGGGTGGCATTGAGGCCTATATAATGCGTCGCCTCCGCATCCGTTTTCGCACAGATGGCAGCCTGTTCAACTTAGCCAGACTTAAGGCGCGCACTAAAGTCTCGTATGCACTGATCACTGAGATCATGTATGCTGATGATTTGTGCTTTCTAGCAGAATCCTCAGAAGGCCTGCAACAGCTGATGTCCGTCTTTCACCAGGCATGCTGCAAGTTCGGCCTGAAGATAAGTGTCAAGAAGACAGAAGTGATGTCTTTGGACACAAATGACCACGAGTCTCTAAGCATTATGCTTGGTGAGGATGTACTGAAACAGGTGGATAAGTTCCGATATCTGGGGAGTACTATAACATCCAAATGTGACCTTGATGCCGAGATCAGCAGCAGGATCAGTGCTGCAGCTGCAGCATTTGGGAAGCTGCGTTCCAAGGTTTTCTGCTCGCATGACCTAAAGCTGGCCACAAAAATTTCAATATACATGGCGGTTGTGCTGCCAAACCTACTGTACTCCTCCGAGGCGTGGTGCGTGTATCGCCACACGCACACTGGATCGTTTCCACCTCAAATGCCTTCGTACCATCATGAAGATCAGATGGTCTGGTCGAGTGCGCAATACCGAGGTGCTACGACGAGCCCATGTGGGTGGCATTGAGGCCTATACAGGGTGGAAACGTTAAGTGATCTCACTCGATTATTTCTAAACTATACAAGATATTGAAAAACTGGTTACTGATCCTGAATGTGCTTCATGAGCTCTTTCAAACGGTACCAATAATAGGTTACAGAATAAACTGGATCTATCTGAAAATTCAATGTTTCCAGCTTCCATACTAAATGTATGCCAGACACACAATATTAGAAGTGTATTTTTGTTTATTGAATAATAAACTCGTAAATTGTATTCGTCTTTGAAAATATTCATAAAAAACATAGTTTTAGGCTTTACTNCCGAAATCGGTCGGATGGATCAATTAATCGCTCAAAAGCTTGCAGGTACGAGTTGAGTTTAGTCCAATATCACGTAGAAAATGATTTTGATTTTGAATTTTAATAGCACAAAAAGTTACTCGTATATCATTAGTATGTAGACAACATCAAACCACATCAAGTGGATTGCCGGAACGTTCAGCTAATTTTTAACTAACAAATAATTTGCGGCTGATGTTACATGGCTAAGTTTCAGGTAACGGGGAGCATCTAAACTAATTTGTATGTTTATTTTAGAATACACTAATAAATACTAGCAGAATTATTAGTTTTGTGTATCAACATGAATAAATGTGCATCTTTCAGTGCAACAGTGGCAGTAGGTGCCATTTTATTAATATTTATTGCACGTAAGAAAATGTACAAATTACGGACCTTATGAACAAATGCATTCTTTGCCAGTCAACCACAGGACAGGCAGATAAATTATCAAGAGTCATTACCATGTTAAAAAACGTAATGGATGGTTGAGCCGTCATCTGAACAGTAAAAAAAAACGTTAATAAACTAACTAACTTAAATAAGTTTCAAAATCAAGCATAGAGTCTGTTTTGTCTTATTCAAATTTAACTAATCAAAGGCCCACACGAGACAATTTTTGAGATTGAAACGGGCCTTTGACAACGAGAGCTATCCCATCACTGCCGACTAGGGATTGGTCGTGATCGGCCATTTTATCGCCTCCAAACTATAAAATGCGTAGTTCAATTAATTTATTCATGAACCATGCCCCATGGACGTCAAGAGGCAACCCTGGTACTAAATATAGAGTACCCTTTAATCAAATTTCGGTTCGTAACATTACAATATTAATAGGTTTCGATTCATTGCCTAGTGTGTAGTGCATAGCGAATCAATAAAAAAATATTAACTATGTAACAATTGTGATTAACGTGGATTCGATAAAGTTGCATGCAATAACTGTTTCATAATATTTAATTTAGAAGCGATTACAAAACCAAATTGTCTACACGCAGAATCAACTTCTTTTATCTTGTATCATAAGTAAGCTAACACACATTTATTACTCATCTAAATAGAGTTTACTCAGATTATGATATCATCATCATTGTCATCAGGTAATTTAGCCTTCACTGCATGAGTAACACCCTCTCTAAATCATACTTGTGATGTATTTTTGTCTGTCTGTCTGTATGTAACGTTATAGAAACAAAAACTACTCAACGGATTTTAACGAAACTTGGTACAATTATTCTTCATACTCCTGGATAGGTTATAGTCTACTTAGGAATTCCCACGGGAACGGGAATTAGCGGGAAAATCCTTTTGAATAAAAAATCTAAAACGCTTAAGTTAGACGCTTGAAATTTGGCATGCAGGTACCTTAGTAAACTTAAAGCTTAGTTACAACAGGATATTGCAAAATTCCCACGGGAACGGGAGTTAGCGGGAAAAAATATTTGTATGAAAAAATCTAAACCGCGTAAGATAGATGAAGGGGGTTAAACGGGATCCACGCGTACGAAGTCGCGGGCGGCCGCTAGTTATATTGATAAAACACATACCTCGCAGAAAAACGTAATAGGCATTTATCGCGAAAAAAAAGTATTATGAATATAGCTTTCTAGTTTTACGAAACCTGTTTCGG